CCAAGTTTCTGTCTCTGCTGAAAAGACATCTATGAATTAAGTCATTTAGTTATTGCCAAAGAAACTATCGGGTTTTTCTGGTGAAAGATTGATCACGTTCTCGTCTTGTGAAAATAGTATTTATCAAATGGTCTGTTCAGTCCGACATTAATGTTTATTCTTTCATTTCCCACGGATTTTATAGCCAAGAAACGAAAGTGGTTTTATGGGTTGCCAGGTTTGAGTGAATGACTCATATCTTTTTTGGCATTTTTATAACGAGACTATTTACTTTGTCATTTCCTGTTTTAGAATCTACGTCTTTGTTCTGGTAGCTCTCTCAAACCCCTCACTATCCCGTCTGTAACCTCTGGTAGCTCTCTCAAACCCCTCACTAACCCCTGAAAGCGCTCTAAATCCCTTTCTACCCCCTTGTAGTTCTCTCTAATCCCCTTGTAGCTCTCTCTATATCCTTTCTAACCCCTTGTAGCTCTCTCTAATCCCTTTCTAACCCCTTGTAGCTCTCTCTATCCCCTTTCTAACCACTTGTAGCTCTCTCTAACCCCTTTCTAACCCCTTGTAGCTCTCTCTATCCCCTTTCTAACCCCTTGTAGCTCTCTCTATCCCCTTTCTAACCACTTGTAGCTCTCTCTAATCCCTTTCTAACCCCTTGTAGCTCTCTCTATCCCCTTTCTAACCCCTTATAGCTCTCTCTATCCCCTTTCTAACCCCTTGTAGCTCTCTCTAATCCCTTTCTAACCCCTTGTAGCTCTCTCTCTCCCCTTTCTAACCCCTTGTAGCTCTCTCTATCCCCTTTCTAACCCCTTGTAGCTCTCTCTAACCCCTTTCTAACCCCTTGTAGCTCTCTCTAATCCCCTTGTAGCTCTCTCTATATCCTTTCTAACCCCTTGTAGCTCTCTCTATCCCCTTTCTAACCACTTGTAGCTCTCTCTAATCCCTTTCTAACCCCTTGCAGCTCTCTCTATCCCCTTTCTAACCCCTTATAGCTCTCTCTATCCCCTTTCTAACCCCTTGTAGCTCTCTCTAATCCCTTTCTAACCCCTTGTAGCTCGCTCTCTACCCTTTCTAACCCCTTGTAGCTCTCTCTATCCCCTTTCTAACCCCTTGTAGCTCTCTCTAACCCCTTTCTAACCCTTTGTAGCTCTCTCTATCCCCTTTCTAACCCCTTGTAGCTCTCTCTATCCCCTTTCTAACCCCTTGTAGCTCTCTCTATCCCCTTTCTAACCCCTTGTAGCTCTATCTAATCCCTTTCTAACCCCTTGTGGCTCTCTCTCTCCCCTTTCTAACCCCTTGTAGCTCTCTCTATCCCCTTTCTAACCCCTTGTAGCTCTCTCTATCCCCTTTCTAACCACTTGTAGCTCTCTCTAACCCCTTTCTAACCACTTATAGCTCTCTTTATCCCCTTTCTAACCCCTTGTAGCTCTCTCTAATCCCTTTCTAACCCCTTGTAGCTCTCTCTCTCCCCTTTCTAACCCCTTGTAGCTCTCTCTATCCCCTTTCTAACCCCTTGTAGCTCTCTCTAACCCCTTTCTAACCACTTGTAGCTCTCTCTATCCCCTTTCTCACCCCTTGTAGCTCTCTCTATCCCCTTTCTAACCACTTGTAGCTCTCTCTAATCCCTTTCTAACCCCTCGTAGCTCTCTCTATCCCCTTTCTAACCCCTTGTAGCTCTCTCTAACCCCTTTCTAACCCCTTGTAGCTCTCTCTATCCCCTTTCTAACCCCTTGTAGCTCTCTCTAATCCCTTTCTAACCCCTTGTAGCTCTCTCTATCCCCTTTCTCACCCCTTGTAGCTCTCTCTATCCCCTTTCTAACCACTTGTAGCTCTCTCTAATCCCTTTCTAACCCCTCGTAGCTCTCTCTATCCCCTTTCTAACCCCTCGTAGCTCTCTCTATCCCCTTTCTAACCCCTTGTAGCTCTCTCTATCCCCTTTCTAACTTTGTGTAGCTCTCTCTAACCCTTGGTAGCTCTCTCTATCCCCTGGTAGCTCTCTCTAACCCCTTGTAGCTCTCTCTATCCCCTTTCTAACTTTGTGTAGCTCTCTCTAACCCTTGGTAGCTCTCTCTATCCCCTGGTAGCTCTCTCTAACCCCTGGTGGCTCTCTAACCCCGGCCCCTCACCGGTGTCAGGGTCCTTGGCGTACAGCGCGGCCACTGGCGTCCTCACGGTGGTGTTGTCGAACACAGAGACCTGAAAGAGGGCGGAGCTAAACTCTGGAGCGTTGTCGTTCATGTCCTGGACTCGCAGCACGATGTCGGCCTGACACGAGCGTCCGCCGCCGTCCGTCACTTTGGCCGCCACGTGGAACTCGGCCTCAGCCTCGCGGTCCAGCACCGACAGCGTGAACAGCTCCCCTGCCACAGATGAACGGATGAATCGAGGTTAATTCTTTAATTTTCAATCACTGAAGAAAGAATGAACATGTTCTCAAGTATGAAAGCATGAATATCTCCTTAAACTACTTTGACCGTGACATGCAATTCAATATGGTCTCTCTCTGGTCTCTCTCTGGTCTCTCTCTGGTCTCTCTCTGGTCTCTCTCTGGTCTCTCTCTGGTCTCTCTCTGGTCTCTCTCTGGTCTCTCTCTCTGGTCTCTCTCTGGTCTCTCTCTCTGGTCTCTCTCTGGTCTCTCTCTGGTCTCTCTCTGGTCTCTCTCTCTGGTCTCTCTCTGGTCTCTCTCTCTGGTCTCTCTCTGGTCTCTCTCTGGTCTCTCTCTGGTCTCTCTCTCTCTGGTCTCTCTCTGGTCTCTCTCTCTCTGGTCTCTCTCTCTCTGGTCTCTCTCTGGTGTCTCTCTGGTCTCTCTCTGGTCTCTCTGTGGTCTCTCTCTCTGGTCTCTCTCTGGTCTCTCTCTCTGGTCTCTCTCTGGTCTCTCTCTGGTCTCTCTCTGGTCTCTCTCTGCTCTCTCTCTCTGGTCTCTCTCTGGTCTCTCTCTGGTCTCTCTCTGGTCTCTCTCTGGTCTCTCTCTCTGGTCTCTCTCTCTGGTCTCTCTCTGGTCTCTCTGGTCTCTCTCTCTCTGGTCTCTCTCTGGTCTCTCTTTGGTCTCTCTCTGGTCTCTCTCTGGTCTCTCTCTCTGGTCTCTCTCTGGTCTCTCTCTGGTCTCTCTCTGGTCTCTCTCTCTCTGGTCTCTCTCTGGTCTCTCTCTCTCTGGTCTCTCTCTCTCTGGTCTCTCTCTGGTGTCTCTCTGGTCTCTCTCTGGTCTCTCTGTGGTCTCTCTGTGGTCTCTCTCTCTGGTCTCTCTCTGGTCTCTCTCTGGTCTTTCTCTGGTCTCTCTCTCTGGTCTCTCGCTGGTCTCTCGCTAGTCTCTCTCTCTAGTCTCTCTCTGGTCTCTCTCTCTCTGGTCTCTCTCTGGTCTCTCTCTGGTCTCCTTCTGGTCTCTCTCTGGTCTCTCTCTGGTCTCTCTCTGGTCTCTCTCTGGTCTCTCTCTAGTCTCTCTCTGGTCTCTCTCTCTCTAGTCTCTCTCTGGTCTCTCTCTCTCTGGTCTCTCTCTGGTCTCTCTCTGGTCTCTTGTATGTAAACATGTGGCCAAAAGTGGTACTGCAGCCTCTCCCACTCTCCCTGACTCAGGTTGCCAGATATGCAGACGAATCCAGCTGGGACCATAACAGCTGAATAGACAAGAGTTTTGTCAACAACAAATCTATAACCAACACCTTTTTCACAAAGATAGAAATCCTGCTTTTATTCCTTGTTTTGTCGTTAATGATTTGACTCAATGTGAAAATCTTACATATTGCTACTTAAAGGGAGAACATTTGTAACCGGTTCAATGAATTTCTTAAAACAATTCCACAAGAGGGAGGCAATTATGTGAAACACTTTGAGCCACTGGTACAGCAACAGACGACTGCCAATTACAAGGACTGTCTGAAGTGGACGCTTCGTGAGAGCGATGAATGTTTGTGTGAATTTAAAACTGTGAATGACATGTCAGGACTGGCCTCCTGCTGGGACTCTGAGGAGCACAGGGACTGGCCTCCTGCTGGGACTCTGAGGAGCACAGGGACTGGTCTCCTGCTGGGACTCTGAGGAGCACAGGGACTGGTCTCCTGCTGGGACTCTGAGGAGCACAGGGACTGGTCTCCTGCTGGGACTCTGAGGAGCACAGGGACTGGCCTCCTGCTGGGACTCAGAGGAGCACAGGGACCGGCCTCCTGCTGGGACTCTGAGGAGCACAGGGACTGGCCTCTTGCAGGGACTCTGAGGAGCACAGGGACCGGCCTCCTGCTGGGACTCAGAGGAGCACAGGGACTGGCCTCCTGCTGGGACTCTGAGGAGCACAGGGACTGGCCTCCTGCAGGGACTCTGAGGAGCACAGGGACTGGCCTCCTGCTGGGACTCTGAGGAGCACAGGGACTGGTCTCCTGCTGGGACTCAGAGGAGCACAGGGACTGGTCTCCTGCTGGGACTCTGAGGAGCACAGGGACTGGCCTCCTGCTGGGACTCTGAGGAGCACAGGGACTGGCCTCCTGCTGGGACTCTGAGGAGCACAGGGACTGGCCTCCTGCTGGGACTCAGAGGAGCACAGGGACTGGCCTCCTGCTGGGACTCTGAGGAGCACAGGGACTGGCCTCCTGCTGGGACTCTGAGGAGCACAGGGACTGGCCTCCTGCTGGGACTCTGAGGAGCACAGGGACTGGCCTCCTGCTGGTCCCAGAGTCAGGACTAAACATGACATTTCAGTTTTATACAGCTAGACCCTGGAACAGTCTTCCTGAAAATGTGAGACAGACTTCTTCTTCTCTGACAATGTCCAAATCCAGGTTAGAAACAGTTTTGTTTCTGCAACAACTGAAGGACTTTATCTTTTCTCTTTTTAATGACCAGTGATTATTTATGATTTTCCCAGTTTCTTGTCTTGCGCCTCGAGTTGCCATGGTTACAGACTGTGCCATACGAATAAACAAATATACAGCACATTGTTTACACCTGTGTCACCTTTTTTGGGGTCCAGGTGGAAGTTGTGAGCGTCGGGGCCGTGGAGGCTGTAGGAGAGCTGCCCGTTGGAGCCCAGGTCCGGGTCCCAGGCAAACACCTTCAGGATGAACTGGTTTATGGGCGAGTTCTCCATCACCGACTCCGTGTACAGAAGCTGAGAGGGGACAAAAACAGGGAATTACACCCAAAACATCTGCTCTGGAGAAGACAAGGAAGACACACTGCAAAAAAATGATAAAATATGAGGTAATAAAAGTTTGAAATGTGTGTGTTTTTAAAAAATAGTTTCTTAGTCATTACTTTAAGCTTGGAACTTAAATCTACCTCTTTGGGGAATCTCACCTGGTTTTAGGCACTTTACCGTCAAACTCCATCTCAACTATTTGATAAAGGCCTAATGATAATAATAATAAATAGGGGTTCTAAAATAAAAAATACATCTACATCTTAGAAAATCCAAACAGAGTGAATGTGAAAGGGTTAATCTGACAAATTCTGATTCTTCAATTGGACAAAGTCAGAATTATTCCAAGATCTGTTGCTTTATTTTCTCATTCCAAAGGAGACATTTAAAAACAAGATCATTTTGTTTTGTCCCATTAGAAAATCTAGTTTTAGGCTCAGGCAGAATGTGCTCAGATTAAGACACATTTAGTAACATTGAAATCCCTTTGTGGTCTCTCTCTGGTCTCTCTCTGGTCTCTCTCTGGTCTCTCTCTCTGGTCTCTCTCTGGTCTCTCTCTCTGGTCTCTCTCTGGTCTCTCTCTGGTCTCTCTCTGGTCTCTCTCTGGTCTCTCTCTCTGGTCTCTCTCTATCTGCTCTCTCTCTGGTCTCTCTCTGGTCTCTCTCTCTGGTCTCTCTCTCTGGTCTCTCTCTATCTGCTCTCTCTCTGGTCTCTCTCTCTGGTCTCTCTCTGGTCTCTCTCTCTGGTCTCTCTCTGGTCTCTCTCTCTGGTCTCTCTCTATCTGCTCTCTCTCTGGTCTCTCTCTCTGGTCTCTCTCTGGTCTCTCTCTCTGGTCTCTCTCTCTGGTCTCTCTCTATCTGCTCTCTCTCTGGTCTCTCTCTATCTGCTCTCTCTCTGGTCTCTCTCTCCGGTCTCTCCCTGGTCTCTCTCTGGTCTCACTGACAGTGGGGGGTCAGTACCTGCTGACAGTGGGGGGGGGGTCAGTACCTGCTGACAGTGGAGGGGGGGGTCAGTACCTGTTGACAGTGGGGGGGGGGTCGGTACCTGTTGACAGTGGGGGGAGTTGTCGTTGACGTCCAGCACATGCAGATCCACAGACACCGGGCTCTGGAAGCGTCCGTCTGTGGCTGTGATCCTCAGACTGAAGCGGGGGCTGATCTCTCGGTCCAGAGGCTCTTTGGAGATGAGCCCCCACACGCCCTCGTCCACCTGCACCACCGCAAACTGCCCCCAGGGGTCGCCATCTGGAGAGACATTGACTGAGCATTAGCTGAGACAAATCTGATGTATGGTGAAAATGATCATATGGGGTAATAACATAGAACAAAATTCTGACTATTTTTAGAGAGACCTTCACATGCAATGCATTCTGGGATGTTGCAGATTTGCAACATGGCCCATTGATGTAAATAGAGCTGATCCAGGTAAACACCCAGAGGAGGTATAACCTACTAATTGGCATGTTCTGTAAATATACATACATTTATCTTTCATTTTTATCATTATTATTATTATTAGTGGTTGGTCGTGAGCCCAGTGTTGATGCCCAGAAAATCAGTTTTGGTGAAACCACGAAGATTAACATTTTGGAAGAGAGACAGCGCCCCCAGGGGGGCAGGTGGAGAACTGTGTGTTGTTGAAGCTCAACTAAGTCCAGCAGTGGAACTTCTGAGTAATAAAGGGTCAACAATATGGATGTGGAATAGATCGGTGATAAGAAGTGAAGTTGTTGCAAATCTGCAACGCTTGGTTACACTTAGTTAAGGTCACACTTAATTATGTTTTTTTGAGATTTTTACCATGTTACAGCATTGTTTCTCATCAAGATAGACTGACATGGAGGTGATTTTAGCTCAATCCACTGAAACTCTGCCCCTTTTGTGGACCATAAATGTCCCATGATTTTATATTGTTTCTCTTTCCAGTTTTGGTTAAATCTAAATAAACTAATTTTGTTTATTCACTTCTACTGCATGTTCTTCCCTCCAGAGAGTGGATTGTAAACTCTAAATACAGAATAAATCGTCAAATACACATTCTCTAGTAAACTTGAAAGAGCCAGCTGCTTCAGGCGGATCCACTGCTCTGTGTAAATAAGCGGCTTTATGGTCGGAGTCCAACGTTTGTAGAAGAAGTAATGAAGTGCCGTAAAGTGCCGACGGCTTTGAGATAGAAATGTTTGGTGTTAGATGTTCCTTCTTCCTTCCACTGTTTGAAAATCAGGTAATTACAAACTTTAAAGCCACAAAACATGTTTTAATATAATTCTATTCTATTCTGGTTATTATCTCTAGAACAGTTGCTTTCCACATGCATGCAGGGGAGTGGAAAAGACAGGACCACCCACTCTCGGCCAATCAGCTCTCAGCCCAAAGTGACCAATGACTCACAGGGTTCTTTCTGAGTGTTTTTAAATAATAATACTAATAAAAATATAAATAATAATAATGCATTGGTTTTACACAGCGCTTTTCAGGACTCTCAAAGTCTCATCACATTATTATTCTTTCTCTCCCAACACAGTGATGCTAAACTACTACTGTAGCCACAGCTGCCCTGGGGCACACTGACAGAAGGGGGGCAGCCAGTCTGTGCCATCGGCCCCTCCCACCACCACCATCAACCATTCACACACACACACCAGACTCAGTCTAATGTGGGGGAAGTGTCTTGCCTAAGGACACAACCACAGCAGACATCAGTGGAGAAAGTATCATGGTGGGCTCGAACCTACGACCTTCAGGCTCAAAGGCCAATGCCAACGATAAAACCACTGGATTCAAGCTTTTATAACCTCTTATTTTATCATTTTTTGCAGTGTGTCCTGTGTGTGCCTCTCTGATCTGAAATAAATGTAGTAAGCAGTAAGTAATGTTTATTTATATAGCACATGTTACAGACCAAGGTACAGACCCAAAGCACTTTCCAATGTTCAGAGTCAGATATTGTTCCAATCCTTCCACACACTGTGATGACAGAAGCGAGTCCAGAACACACTGGTCCATCAAAACCTCTGACCCAACACCATCCATTCACTCTCTCATTTACATTCAGACCTATTGTGCATGTTTTAGTGGTAGGGGAAACTGGAGCACCCGGAGGAAACCTACACAGACACAGGGAGAACATGCATGTTCTATGGTATGTTGGTCCGTCTCTGGTATGTTGGTCCATCTTTGGTAGTTGGTCCATCTCTGGTATGTTGGTCTATCTCTGGTATGTTGGTCCGTCTCTGGTATGTTGGTCCATCTTTGGTAGTTGGTCCATCTCTGGTATGTTGGTCTATCTCTGGTATGTTGGTCCGTCTCTGGTATGTTGGTCCGTCTCTGGTATGTTGGTCCGTCTCTGGTATGTTGGTCCATCTCTGGTATGTTGGTCCATCTCTGGTATGTTGGTCCATCTCTAGTAGTTGGTCCATCTCTGGTAGTTGGTCCATCTCTGGTAGTTGGTCCATCTCTGGTATGTTGGTCCATCTCTAGTAGTTGGTCCATCTCTGGTAGTTGGTCCATCTCGGGTATGTTGGTCCATCTCTGGTATGTGGTCCATCTCTGGTATGTTGGTCCATCTCTGGTAGTTGGTCCATCTCTGGTATGTTGGTCCGTCTCTGGTATGTTGGTCCGTCTCTGGTATGTTGGTCCGTCTCTAGTATGTTGGTCCGTCTCTAGTATGTTGGTCCGTCTCTGGTATGTTGGTCCATCTCTGGTAGTTGGTCCATCTCTGGTATGTTGGTCCATCTCTGGTATGTTGGTCCATCTTTGGTAGTTGGTCCATCTTTGGTAGTTGGTCCATCTCTGGTATGTTGGTCCATCTCTGGCATGTTGGTCCATCTCTGGTATGTTGGTCCGTCTCTGGTATGTTGGTCCATCTCTGGTATGTTGGTCCATCTTTGGTAGTTGGTCCATCTTTGGTAGTTGGTCCATCTCTGGTATGTTGGTCCATCTCTGGCATGTTGGTCCATCTCTGGTATGTTGGTCCATCTCTGGTATGTTGGTCCATCTTTGGTAGTTGGTCCATCTCTGGTATGTTGGTCTATCTCTGGTATGCTGGTCCGTCTCTGGTATGTTGGTCCTTCTCGGGTATGTTGGTCCATCTCTGGTATGTGGTCCATCTCTGGTATGTTGGTCCATCTCTAGTAGTTGGTCCATCTCTGGTATGTGGTCCATCTCTGGTATGTTGGTCCATCTCTGGTAGTTGGTCCATCTCTGGTATGTTGGTCCATCTCTGGCATGTTGGTCCATCTCTGGTATGTTGGTCCATCTTTGGTATGTTGGTCCATCTCTGGTATGTGGTCCATCTCTGGTATGTTGGTCCGTCTCTGGTATGTTGGTCCATCTCTAGTAGTTGGTCCATCTCTGGTATGTTGGTCCATCTCTAGTAGTTGGTCTATCTCTGGTAGTTGGTCCATCTCTGGTAGTTGGTCCATCTCTGGTAGTTGGTCCATCTCTGGTATGTTGGTCCATCTCTGGTATGTTGGTCCATCTCTGGTATGTTGGTCCATCTCTGGTATGTTGGTCACATCCTACAGTGGGCCTCATTACCTTTGCATGTGCTTTCTCGGGCCGAGCTTTGATACCAGCTCCGAGACCCAGCGCCTTTGATGAATTATTCATTAATTTGTGTTTGTAGATTGGAATTTCTCGAGCGTTCAGTTCTACAAGAAATGTTTAATCATCACAACACGGAGTTCGGTACTTGGCGTTTGGGTTTGTAGCCCCGGGATTTCTTAAATTAAAGTTTTAAAAGTGGTTTTTGGATAATGCAGTAGTGGTGTGTGCGGAGAGTGAAGACATGAATCATACATGAAGAAACTTAACTTTTAAAACTCTGATTGTATCTTTAAGGGTTTTCACTTGTGTGTGGGAAAGGTTGAGAATTTTTTTAGACCCGTGTCGCTTTTTACCATTTGGAAGATAAAAAAACAGGGGAGACCAGAGGGAGGCCAGAGAGAGAGAGACCGGAGAGAGGCCGGAGATAGAGACCAGAGAGAGACTAGAAAGACACCAGAGTAAGAGACTGGTGACAGACCAGAGAGGGAGACTAAAGAGAAAGATTAGAGAGAGACCAAAGAATGACGAGAGAGAGACCAGCGAGAGACTAGAAATACACCAGAGAGAGAGGCCAGCGAGAGAGAGACCTGAGTGAGACCAGGTATGTTCTATGCCTTTGTAAAGTTCTCCAGGAGAGAGAGACTAGAGAGAGACTAAAGAGAGAGATTAGAGAGAGACCAAAGAAAGACTAGAGAGAGACCAGAGAGAGACTAGAAATACACCAGAGAGAGAGCGAGAGAGAGCAAAGAGAGAGACCTGAGAGAGACCAGGTATTTTCTGTGCCTTTGTAAAGTTCTCCAGGACTAGAGAGAGACTAGAGAAAGACCAGAGAGAGAAACAAGACAGGTAGAGATAGAGACCAGAGGGAGAGAGAGACCAGAGAGAGAGACCAATGAGAGCGGAGAGAGAGACTAGAGAGAGACCAGAGTGAGACCAGAGTGAGACCACAGAAAGAGACAAGAGAGAGGCCAGAGAGAGATAAACCAGGTAGAGATAGAGACCAGAGGGAGAGAGAGAGACCAGAGAGGGAGACCAACAAGAGACCGGAGAGAGAGACTAGAGAGAGACCAGAGTGAGACCACAGAAAGAGACAAGAGAGAGACTAGAGAGAGAGCGAACAGGGAGAGACCTGGTACCTTAATGCTAAATGCTAAATTAAAAATGCCATTATCATTCTCCAGTTTGACTTCACGTTGTTCACATACTTAAAAATAAAAGCAGTGATGGCAAAAACTTAAAAATATGTTGAGCCGATCAATGTGAAACCTACAATATGGACATTGGCCGTTCCCTAAGACCAAATGGTTCCTACTGTTTGTTATTACCGCATTTCCTGAGTTTGAACTGTTTGATTCTCTGATCTGTTGTTGAGGAAGCTACAACTGTGTAAAGTCCTCAAAGACGACTGCTGTTGTGATTTAGGGCTAAAATACATTGAATTTAAATGAAATCTGCTTTTGATTGTGCCTCAAAATGCTGTATATGGCGATAGTGAGACTGTAAACATTCATCATTCAGCCAACTTCAGCTCCGACATAGCTATTTATAGAGCTCAGGACAGCCTAAAACCAGTCAGAACAGTTACGCACCTATTCGTAGAACTACAGTTACATTAGGTAACTAAGTATTTCTTCCAAAGTGGATCTTATCATATGTTTGGACACCGCTGCCTTACTTCCAGGAGAAAGATTCGTAGT